GGCCGATAAAGCCTCTAGATTTGGAGCGCCCTTCGTGGATATCACGATTGGCTAATATTTAAGTCTCCGAATTCGGAGCCCCGTCAGTGCATGACACCTTTAGGCCGACAAAGCCTCCGGATTCGGAGCGCCCTTCGTGGATATCACGATTGGCCAATATTTAAGTCTCCGAATTTGGAGCCCCATCAGTGCAAGACACTTTTGGGCCGATAAAGCCTCCGGATTCGGAGCGTCTTTCGTGGATATCATGATTGGTCAATATTTAAGTCTCCGAATTCAGAGCCCCATCAATGCAAGACACTTTTGGGCCGATAAAGCCTCCGGATTCGGAGGGCCCTTCGTGGATATCACGATTGGCCAATATTTAAGTCTCCGAATTTGGAGCCCCATCTATGTAAGACTCTTTTGGGCCGATAAAGCCTTCGAATTCGGAGCGCCCTTTGTAGATATCACGATTGGCCAATATTTAAGTCTCCAAATTCGGAGCCCCATCAGTGCAAGACACTTTTGGGCCGAATAAAGCCTCCGTATTCGGAGCACTGTTCGTGGATATCACGATTGGCCAATATGCAAGTCTCTGAATTGGGAGCCCCATCAGTGCAAGACACTTTTGGGCTGATAAAGCCTCCGAATTCGGAGCGCCCTTTGTGGATATCATGATTGGCCAATATTTAAGTCTCTGAATTCGGAGCCCCATCAGTGCAAGACACTTTTGGGCCAATAAAGCCTCTGGATTCGGAGCGCCCTTCGTGGATATCAAGATTGGCCAATATTTAAGTCTCCGAATTCAGAGCCCCATCAGTGCAAGACACTTTTAGGCCGAATAAAGCCTCTGTATTCAGAGCACTGTTCGTGGATATCACGATTGGCCAATAAGCAAGTCTCTGAATTTGGAGCCCCATCAATTCAAGACACGTTTGGGCCGAATAAAGCCTCCGAATTCGGAACGCCATCGTGGATCACAATTGGCCAAGCCGACTCTGGATTCGGAGCCCCATTGGTGCATAACAATAACGAATAAGCCTTCAGATTCGGAGCGCCCTACACGAAAGTTAAAACATACAAACATTCAAAATGATATGCTTAATTAAGCATGAAAACATTCAAAATGAAATGCTTAGTTAAGTTAAGCCGGCGCAAACCGCATAGACAAATTAAGCATGAAAACATTCAAAATGAAACGAAAACGTTTGAAACAAAGTATTTTATTAAGTTATCCAATAGATACAAAGCTGACGCCCAATCTGTGTTGGAGCGTTTAGAATATATTCAATTCTATTCGGCATCACCCTCCTCATCGCTCTTCATAATTTCGAAAGCGCCAAAACGAAAGTGATGACATTGATATAATGGCGACACCGATTCAACTCCTGCTCCTTGGAGTGCCTCTGCAGCTTGGAGAGCCATAATGCACCCATTCCTAAAGCCCCGATTCTCGCATCGGCATACCTCCTCTGCGAGTTTCTCCTTGGTCTTCTCTATCCCGACTTTCCGACCTTCGTGGAAGCCTCGTTCATAGGCCGCGGCCTTCGCATTCTCTACTGCGAACATACTTGCCGTATCTCGATCGACAATCGCATGGCTTAACAGCCGTTGGGTCACTCTTTCATCCACGGCCGGGTTGGATTGTCCAGCCACACGCGGCTCGGCAGTCTGGGCCTTCCTTAGCTCGCGCTCGGCCTTCTCCGCACGAGCCTTCAATCTTCGAATTCATTCATCCTTCTTCTCTATCTCCCGTCGTGTGGCGCACAGATGCATGCCGACTTCATAGGCGGTATACAGCCCTCTCACTGCTCCGTGGATGCCCTCTCGAAATACTTCGAAATCTTGTCGACCAACCATCGACTGTTGAACTTCCGGAGGAAAAATCTGTCGAGCGAACTTGACTGCTACACCTGGGTCATTAATAAGAGAATCCACCACCGTCATCGATTTATTCCCCACAAAAATCACAAAACTCAACGGTCGCAGCGTCGCGTCGGGCTCATTTCTCGGTCGCGGCCGCGGGGAGCTTCCCCGTTGCTATTTTTCTTTTCGGGGTGATTTGCTTCGACGACTTGGGGGCTGACGTTTTTCCCGTTCCCTGAACATCCTACCTCCCGTGCGTATGGGCTCACTACTGTGATTCCTTTCAGTGTCTAGCTCAGCCAATGTTCGCCCTTCTCCTCTGTTGTTGAAGAATAGTCTATTTGACATTCGCACTTATCTAACCTTCCACAACAAGCTGGTTTAAATTTAGTCTGAACACAATAAGTGGAATCACTGGCGGGAAGAACCCACCCCATTTATTCCTAATGCATGCAACGTCCCTGAGGAGACTTCATTAATGCTAAACTCCGAAAGACCGATACCGATTGACATGCGCCGCCGCCACTACATGAACTAATAATATTCGGCTTTTGGAGCTCATGCAGTGGCTGGGGCAAGGGCAGATTTATTAATCTAATCGGCTAAATATCTAAGTCCGATGCCGATCGATTTATGCCGCAGCCACTACATGAACTAATAATATTCGACTTTTAGAGCTCATGCACTAGTTGGGGCAAGGGCAAATTTGTTAATCTGATCGGCCAAATATCTAAGCCCGATGCCGATCGATTTATGCCGCAGCCACTACATGAACTAATAATATTCGGCTTTTGGAGCTCATGCACTGGCTGGGGCAAGTGCAGATTTATTAATCTGATCGGCCAAATATCTAATCTCGATGCCGATCAATTTATGCCACAGCCACTACATGAACTAATAATATTCGGCTTTTGGAGCTCATGCACTGGATGGGGCAAGGGCAGATTTGTTAATCTGATCGGCTAAATATCTAAGCCCGATGCTAATCGATTTATGCCGCAGCCACTACATGAACTAATAATATTCGGCAAGATCAGATTTATTAATCTGATCGGCTATTCGATGAAATAAATTACTAAGTTATCTAATCGGCAAGTGTACACGAATGTTTTAGCCAAGATAGCGAAAGCAATGCCATTCATCAGTAGCAAAATCAAGCATAAGTAATAGCAAAGTGTAGACACCCCATTTTTGACCGTCCTCAAGACTTGGATGTCATCGTTTGAACATTCAATGATCATCCATGCTCGTGTTCATTTTGAGTTCTCGGAGGTCTCGGCTACGCGCGTTGCCTCAAGATCTCTCAACTTGTCTGTTTTGTGCTTGGTTGTGGACCAAACACTTGTGTTTATGCTTCTAAGGGAAGAGGGTGGCTTGTTTGCCATACCCTCAACCCACCGGCCAAGGCTTGAAGCCATCGGCCCTGTTTTCTTTCCATCGGCCAAAAGTATTGACCGATCGACACTATATTTGGTCGGCCGGCACTTATGTTGGTCGATCGGCCTTTTTTGGTGGCCGAATCCTGTTCATCTGCATTATGCAGATATTTTGTGCCAGCTGAAATAGCTGGCATCCGCAATTAACCCCCTCCATACACGTGTATAGAAGGATTTTCCCTTTGCTTAGCTTCTCCAAGAAGCTTTGCAAATTGGATTTCTATAAGAGGGGAGGCCCTCCTCCCTTCTCAGGGTTCTGAAATTAGGGTTAGAAAAAGTTGTATCTCTCTATCTCTATATCTCCCTATCTCTATCATTTGTGTGTGTATTTGTGACCTAAAGTGAGTTTTGTTCACACTATTGCTCACAAACACCTAGCATTACACCATCCTTAGTTGCTGAGGTTCTAAGGAGTTGTTGCTAGGGTTCTTGGAGTGGTTTTGATCAGAGAAAGGTGCTGGTGTTGTGTTCTTGAAGGTGTTCTTCAAGGGTGAGCATTCTTGCTTTAGATACCCCTTTCTTGCTTAGGCTTTTAGCCCTTCTTGCTTATTATTTTAAGCTTAGCTATTAACTGATAAAAGTTCTATTTTTACTTGCTTTTGAACTTTGTTTCAGGTCATTTTGAGGTTTGGTGTTGTTTACCCCCTCCAAGGCCTTGTTAGGCCTTATTTTAGGCCATCTCTTTTGGCCCTTGCTTTGAGCTTTGCATGGCCTCTCTACCACTGAAATCCAGAGGATTTTCAGTGGTGGGGAGGTGATTTTGGTGTCCTAAATAGGAGAGGGTCATCCCCTCTCCTTGTCATCTTGAATACTAGCATAAGTGGCTTATGTTGGTGGCTTGTATGCCTAGCTTGTTTTAGCTTCATTTCAGCAAGTATTTGGTGTTGTTTTGCCATGATTTACCTCTGCTTAAAGTTGGTTTAGTGGTCTCCTGCCTGCACCATATACTTACCTTGCAATCCCTTCATTTGTCTTAACATGTATCTGGCATTTAGACTACCATGCTTGCATGTTTTAGCTCAACTCCATGAAGATTCTAGCCTTGTTTTAACATGCTTGAGCTCTATCTTTCATTGTTTTGGTCATGCTTACATTGTTTTGTATAGCTACCATGCAATCTAGCTTGTTAGCTTTGGGTGTTTGAGTCACTAGCATGCTCTATTCAGATCATTTCAGTGGTTTGGCATCACTTGTAATATTATTTCAGTCCATATAGTATGCTCATGTACTTGTATTCGTCACTCCTTTAATGCTTTAAAGGGTTTGCGTTTTATGCCTCATGAATGTGTCATTGTGTATGCCACCATGCTTAGGTCTTTGGGATACCATCTAAGTGAGTTTTTGGGCTTACTTTGACATGCCATAACTCTATTTTTCATTGCTTAAATCATGCCACATTTGGTTTTGATAGGTGTAGCGTAACACCCTCTTCGGTAGCCTTGCATGCCTCATGTTTTGGCGTTGTGTTCTAGTCTATAAATTTGATGTTTTTTTATGAGGCGGAAATGATCATATTAGCTTGTTCAGTCTTCTACATTTGATTTGTACTGAGGTTGATGATGTAGTTGCCGTCTAATTTCTAGGAATGTAGTGATTATAACCCTGGACATTTTATTTTGTGGATGTCTTCATATATTTGGATATGGATAGTTATTAGATGATCTTGTATTTATCTATTTTTTAAATTAAGTAATGAATTGGGTTGAAATTTCATTAATTTGTTCTCTGGAAATAGAAGTGCTTTTCATACATTCTTAATGTGTCAGACTTCCATGAATTAATTGGTCAGAAGTATCTATGCTGAATGGCTAGCATTACCTGTTTGTATTGTCCATGCAGAGCGCACTTACACTGCACCCCAGAAGTGGATGAAGGGCAAGGGGCGTGTGACTATTCAATTTGGTTGCTGTTACAATTATGCGACAGTAAGTCTCTTAATATGTTGCTTATTTATACATTGGCTTATTTGTTTTTACCTTCATACCTTGGTGACAACTTGAGAATGAGAGAAGAAAACAAAGCAGTTAAAAAGAAGCTTACAATATCTATTTTCTGGTCACAGGATAAAAATGGTAATCCGCCAGGCATCCTTCAGAATATAACTGTAGATCCTATACCTCTTCTTTTTAAGATGATCATCAGGAGGCTTGTGAGATGGCATGTTCTTCCTCCAACTTGTGTACCTGACAGTTGCATAGTCAACATTTACGAAGAAGGGGACTGCATACCTCCTCACATTGACAACCATGATTTTGTTCGACCTTTTTGTACCGTTTCATTTCTTAGTGAGTGCGATTTACTGTTTGGATCAGACTTGAAGGTTGTGGATGCTGGTGAGTTCAGTGGTTGTATTGCAATTCCCCTGCCTATTGGGTAAGTATGCGGTGCCTTTCAACTTCCACGCTTTCTCTCCTTTTGAAATCAGCTGCTGGTTGTATTTAATTGTTAATTGATTGATAATTATTCATGAGAAATCATTTTCTTCAATTATGGGTTTATATATTTTTATTCAGATCTGTCTTTGTTTTAAATGGAAATGGCGCTGATGTGGCTAAGCATTGTGTGCCAGCAGTTCCTACAAAAAGGTGCAGAGTTTTGTCTGTATACTCATCTTCTTCAGTCATGTTTGCTCATACACTATTTGCTTTTTTGTTTGACTGACCTGATGATGTTGATTTCTGTTTTTTATTTATTTTTATCTTTTATTATTTCATTGTCCTTCTAGGATATCAATTACTTTCAGGAAAATGGATGAATCAAAACGACCTATTGGATTTGTTCCTGAACCTGATTTGCAAGGACTTCAACCAATATCTTATGAAACTGATAGATCAAAAAGGCCGACTCTGTCAAAATCAAAGCGTACTGTGAACAGGCAGCCAGCCAGAAGAGAGGATAGCAGAGACAAAGCAAGGAGATCTGCAGGGAGAGGCAACAACTATTTGAACCCTCCAATCTCACTTCAGATTCAATGTGGGCCTTCTAATAGGCGGACAGTTAGGGTCAACTGGGATGCTTGATGGTATCAGTGTGGAAAGGGCTGCTTTCTCTATCGTATTTATGTGCATATGGTTGTCCTGAGTCCCAACTGCTATGTTAGTTTCATTCTCAAGGCGAAGTATTATTGATATGTTTTTATCGAGTTGTATGTAAAAGATCCAGGGTGAGTTGGAATTTGGAGAGGTGTGCACTGTTTGATGGATGCAATTGTGAACTTTCTGTGTGTAGCTGGGATCCCTCGTAGCTCTGGACTGATTTCACATTCTGATGCATTGACAACGGATTGTGTGGCGGCTAGTGAGGCAAGGTTAGATCTCTAGCTTGTAGCCAGCTGATGCGTCATTTGATCAACTAGTTTAAAGGATTCATGTCATTATGCGATTCCAATATAATTGTCTATTTGTACGAGCATTTTTCTTCTTTGGTTGATGCTATTTCAAAGCTTTGTAAATTGTGAAATTTAATATAGTATAATGCGTGCACTTAACCAAATGATTAGACTATACAATTTGGATTTTATTGAATGAAACGGAATCTCTTATTGTGAACTCTGTAGTCTGTAAATTACACAAGACCTTAAAAATTTGTGATGATTGGCATCTTTTGCACTGCTGGATCTGCAAGCTCGGGAAGATGTCTATAAATTTGATGTTTTTTTATGAGGCGGAAATGATCATATTAGCTTGTTCAGTCTTCTACATTTGATTTGTACTGAGGTTGATGATGTAGTTGCCGTCTAATTTCTAGGAATGTAGTGATTATAACCCTGGACATTTTATTTTGTGGATGTCTTCATATATTTGGATATGGATAGTTATTAGATGATCTTGTATTTATCTATTTTTTAAATTAAGTAATGAATTGGGTTGAAATTTCATTAATTTGTTCTCTGGAAATAGAAGTGCTTTTCATACATTCTTAATGTGTCAGACTTCCATGAATTAATTGGTCAGAAGTATCTATGCTGAATGGCTAGCATTACCTGTTTGTATTGTCCATGCAGAGCGCACTTACACTGCACCCCAGAAGTGGATGAAGGGCAAGGGGCGTGTGACTATTCAATTTGGTTGCTGTTACAATTATGCGACAGTAAGTCTCTTAATATGTTGCTTATTTATACATTGGCTTATTTGTTTTTACCTTCATACCTTGGTGACAACTTGAGAATGAGAGAAGAAAACAAAGCAGTTAAAAAGAAGCTTACAATATCTATTTTCTGGTCACAGGATAAAAATGGTAATCCGCCAGGCATCCTTCAGAATATAACTGTAGATCCTATACCTCTTCTTTTTAAGATGATCATCAGGAGGCTTGTGAGATGGCATGTTCTTCCTCCAACTTGTGTACCTGACAGTTGCATAGTCAACATTTACGAAGAAGGGGACTGCATACCTCCTCACATTGACAACCATGATTTTGTTCGACCTTTTTGTACCGTTTCATTTCTTAGTGAGTGCGATTTACTGTTTGGATCAGACTTGAAGGTTGTGGATGCTGGTGAGTTCAGTGGTTGTATTGCAATTCCCCTGCCTATTGGGTAAGTATGCGGTGCCTTTCAACTTCCACGCTTTCTCTCCTTTTGAAATCAGCTGCTGGTTGTATTTAATTGTTAATTGATTGATAATTATTCATGAGAAATCATTTTCTTCAATTATGGGTTTATATATTTTTATTCAGATCTGTCTTTGTTTTAAATGGAAATGGCGCTGATGTGGCTAAGCATTGTGTGCCAGCAGTTCCTACAAAAAGGTGCAGAGTTTTGTCTGTATACTCATCTTCTTCAGTCATGTTTGCTCATACACTATTTGCTTTTTTGTTTGACTGACCTGATGATGTTGATTTCTGTTTTTTATTTATTTTTATCTTTTATTATTTCATTGTCCTTCTAGGATATCAATTACTTTCAGGAAAATGGATGAATCAAAACGACCTATTGGATTTGTTCCTGAACCTGATTTGCAAGGACTTCAACCAATATCTTATGAAACTGATAGATCAAAAAGGCCGACTCTGTCAAAATCAAAGCGTACTGTGAACAGGCAGCCAGCCAGAAGAGAGGATAGCAGAGACAAAGCAAGGAGATCTGCAGGGAGAGGCAACAACTATTTGAACCCTCCAATCTCACTTCAGATTCAATGTGGGCCTTCTAATAGGCGGACAGTTAGGGTCAACTGGGATGCTTGATGGTATCAGTGTGGAAAGGGCTGCTTTCTCTATCGTATTTATGTGCATATGGTTGTCCTGAGTCCCAACTGCTATGTTAGTTTCATTCTCAAGGCGAAGTATTATTGATATGTTTTTATCGAGTTGTATGTAAAAGATCCAGGGTGAGTTGGAATTTGGAGAGGTGTGCACTGTTTGATGGATGCAATTGTGAACTTTCTGTGTGTAGCTGGGATCCCTCGTAGCTCTGGACTGATTTCACATTCTGATGCATTGACAACGGATTGTGTGGCGGCTAGTGAGGCAAGGTTAGATCTCTAGCTTGTAGCCAGCTGATGCGTCATTTGATCAACTAGTTTAAAGGATTCATGTCATTATGCGATTCCAATATAATTGTCTATTTGTACGAGCATTTTTCTTCTTTGGTTGATGCTATTTCAAAGCTTTGTAAATTGTGAAATTTAATATAGTATAATGCGTGCACTTAACCAAATGATTAGACTATACAATTTGGCCTGCCTATTACCTCCCCTGGACCATGCTGTAAGTGGGAGTCTTGTGCACTGAGTACAACCTTTTCCATAAACTGTTAGACATTTTTACTCGAGAGAAGCCTGATGATGTCATGCCCAAAATAGATTCGTGATTTTTTTAACTTCAAATTGTCAGTTGTCTGCTTTGTTCAGTGAAGGAGTGGATGAGGGGCAATCGATATTTATTGTATTCTTCCTACATGCTCAAGGTAAAATCTGTCATGTAATTGTTGGTTAGTTTTATGGATAATATGTATTTTAATGTTGCTTTCCATAAAACAAATGAGTAGTGATTATAACCCTGGACATTTTATTTTGTGGATGTCTTCATATAAAAAGTCTGCAACCTCCCTCATTTCTTCATTTTTCCATTTGTTTTGAGGGTTGGTTAACCTTATGATTGTGTTTAAGCTTGAGATCGAGCTTGTGCTCAATGGCTTTAACCCTCTTTTGAGGGTTCCTACTAGCCAAAGGCATGGTCTCTCTCATGTCTTAAATCATCCTTCGATTGACCCCTCTCTCATTAGAGGACAATCACCTTGGACTTAACCGGTTAAAGAATGACTTGGTAATGCTAAAATGAGTAAACAAAATGAATCAAGTAAAACATGACCAAGATAAGCATGTTGTGTTTGCATTGCATGTGTTCAATCGGACGTTATATTGAACACAAGGTAGATTGGTCCATTTCATACTCAAAGTGATGAAATGAGCCAATCTCCTTAGTCTCCATCACCCTTGATCATGCATTATAGGGTGGTGGTCCTTTGAGTCTTGATTTTGTACATTGATTAAAAGTGTATACCTTGGATCTTTGGCCATCATGCATCGAAGATGCTTGATTGGTGGTTTTGGATCCAAGAGTGCCACTCCTTTGATGTTTTGAGATGTGTGGGGGCCGAATATTGGGACTCATGGAGAGGCCGAATATTCAGACCTGGGTCGAAGCACATATTTCATTCGACCCCGTCCCGCAGTTTAAATCCTGCCCTATTCGGCCATATAGCCGATTGAGTATGGGGCCGAATGAGAAACGGTTTGCTACGAACCAAGCCGAATAGACAATTACATGGAAATTGACAGTGGGCACATTCCCGAGGCCTAAGAAGGAGAGTAATATAAATACAAGATCATCAGTTAGAGGAAGGTATGTGAGAACTATTATGCTTAACTTAGAATACAAGTAATCTTGAGTGTAGAGACTGACTTGCCCGTCGGAGTGCTAATTCCGGCACTCTGGACCGGAGTGTTTATTAATTCTCAAGTAACTAGCAGAGGATCACAAGCGTCCCCCAGGATCAGAAGAGTATTTCCATACCACTTCTCCACAATTGGTGCCGTTTGTAGGAATACTCAAACATATCCATGACGGGCGTAACGGAAGACCCTCCGGTAGTCACTGATGAAACCACGCAGAGAGACGACCTCACTCCAACAAACATGCTTGGACTGGAGACTATCCCCGCAAGATGTGCTTTGAACTTCGCTTCACCCTCGACTTCAACGCATGAGACAATGCAAGCGATCATGGAACAAGCAAAGCAAAACGAACAGAGGTTGGAGAACATGATCGCTGAGAACGAACGTCTCCGTCAGGATTTGGCCTTGGAAGTGGCGAAGTCCAAACAAGCTGTATGCCAAGATCTGGAATGACCTCGAGCCTGACAACAAGACACTGAGAGCGACTCTGACTCATTATCCCTGGAGCCCAAGAAGAAGGGACGACCCGAAACTACCAGTTCCTCTGAAGAGAGTCCACGTATAAGGCATAAGCAAAGACGAAATGGTTCAGACGAAGAGGACCAACACAATCCCTTTGTACGACGGATCGCAAAGGCAGTACTACTCAAGAAGTTCAAAGCCCCATCGTTCACCTTGTACGACGGGAAATCGGACCCCACAGATCATATCCGTCACTATAAGCAAGCCATGACGTTGCATGCACACAACGAAGCTCTCATGTGCAGAATATTTCTGAGCAGTTTGGGACCGTTGGCAGTCAGATGGTATTATAAGCTGGTGCCGGCGTCGATTAAGAGTTTCCATCAATTACAAAAATCCTTCAAGGCAAGATTCATCACCAACGAGGTCTAGCCGAAACAAGCCGACTCTTTCTGGGCAATGCAGATCCAGCCAGGAGAAACGCTAAGAGCATATTCGGCGTGCTATTGGGAGTGCTTTAATCTTATTGATGACGCTTGCAATGACTCCATGGCCATCACCGCCTTTAAAATGGGTTTGCATCATGACAGTGCTCTCCGCAGCTCCTTGACTAGAAGACCCCCCAAAACAGTATGGTCATTGATGAAGAAAGTTGAGGAAAACTGCAAAGTGGAAGATGACGCCTTGCGGGTTAAAGATGGAAACGTGGCCAACAAGACGGCCCCTTCTGTAATTGCTCAGCCGTTAAATTCTGTACCACCTCAGAGCCCTGAACCACAGCATCGGGCTAAATGAGAGACGGGATTCTTGCCGATCAAGCAACCAATGCCCCCACCGAGCAAATGAACAACTGCAAGTCGATGGCAGGCGCATAAGGCGCGCAGACAAGAAATACACGGAGTTGTCAGAGCCAATCAGCGCGGTTATGTCCAAAGTCCAACACCTTCCATTCTTCAAATGGCCGTCCAAAATGGTGGGCCTCTCGAAACGAGAAGACGGGATAGGCGGTGTCAGTATCACAAGGATCACGGCCATGATACTGAGAGTTGTATGCATTGAAGGATCACCTGGAGGAATTGGTACAAGATGGTCGGCTACAACAGTACGTCTGAAAAGGCAACTCAAACAAAGCAATAGCCTTACGACAGGATTCACCTCCACTCGGCGTGATCCATATGATTTGCAGCCTA